CAGGCACAGTCGCCGTAGTTGTCCGAGAGGTGTTTGGCGACCTCGGTTTCGAGGCCGTACTGCCAAATTTGCGCATCAGTCTGCGTATGCGTCGTTGAATCCAGGGGAGGGGCTTACCCTCTGCACGAGCCCAATGAACATGTTCCGGCTCCAGCCATCGCTGCCGATCAGCCGCAGGTGCTCCGTGACGCACCCACGCTTGGTCCGGTCCTTGAGGTTGAACACCTCAATGGCCTTGTCTACCGTCTCCTCCGCCATCGCGCGGTAGGTCGTCCACTTCCCGCCCGCGATGGTAAGGAGGCCGCTCTCGCTGACGTGGATCATGTGATTGCGGACAAGGCCCTCGTGCTCGCCGCGTTGGGATTGCGCACGAGCGGGCGCAGTCCGGACCATGCACTGAGTACGTCACCACGGCGGACCCTGATGTCCGGGCTGAGGTATCGGCGGACCTCCTCGAGAATCCACCGGATCTCCTCCTCCTGCGCCCGAGGCGCCGTCGAAACTTCCGCGGGTGTGTCCGTGGTGCCTGCAATAGTGTTGCCTTGCCAAGGGAGGAAAAGATGACGCGACCATCCGAGGTAGCAGGGTCAAGCAAGCCCATTGTGCGGGGAGAGTAGTAGTTGGGGAGCGTGATGTGGGTTCCGGAGGAGGGCTGCACGATGGGCTTGTGGTCGGGGTTGTCCATAGTGAGCAAGGAGTCGGAGAAGGGGCCTGTCGCGTTGACGATCCCCTTCGCAGAGACGTTGAATTCCTTGCCGGTAAGGACATCGCGGACTTTCGCGCCGCTGAGCTTGCCATCCTTCTTGTCGAGAGAAGTGACTTGTACGTGGTTGGCAACCACCGCACCCTCCTTTACCGCGGTCATGATAAGAGCCATGTTCATTCGGAATCATTGTGTTGTCCTGGGCGGTCTTAAGGTTTTGACCAAGACAGATGAAAGCGTGTACTCACCATCATAGTAGACAAGTGCCCCAACCAAACCGTCCTGCTTGAGCATAGGGAACGCCTCAAGCGCCTTTCCCTTGCTCATAAGATAGGATGTTTCCATGTTCTCCTTTCCAGCCAATAAATCGTACATCTTGCAACCGGCCCAGTAGTATGGAACCTGCCAATACCTAGGAATAATATGAATCGCCAGGACAGTAGCATGATACAAGAACGAACGTACTTGTATATTGGCAGCATGATTGGCAGCATGCGGAGAGATAGGGTGCAGTCTGCAGAAAGATCTTGCGCTCGTGAAGAGCTTCGACTACGAGCTTGTATTGCTCATAATCGAGCTCCATGACAGCCTTCTGTAGATACCGCACTCCGCCATGGACAAGCTTTGGTGGACTTCGAAGAAGTTCCTGGAGAGCAAAACTTGAGTATACGCTCTCTCCGCATCCACTGTACACGCGCGAAACGCTCAGCGCGTCCATGACGATGCCCGCAGGCAAATGAGGAGCGACGCCTGACGAATTGGACGGAGGCGACACGGCGCAACCATCCCCCGTGTACGCGACATTCGAACCCGTGCCGAACGTATGCGGGCGGCGAGCAACGTCCGGGCGGTCCGCGATGAGAGCAGCAGGCCTCGGAGCATGATAACCGCGCCGGAGAACGTGCACATTCGCCGAAGATGCTCCCGCCCGCGCACTGGCCCCTCACGCATGTTCCCCACGACGATCGCGACACTCACCGGAGCTGAAGTCGTCCATCTCGACCAACGCGACCTTGAGGCCTCGGCTGGCCGCGTCCACGGCGACACCCGCGCCCGTCGCGCCTCCTCCAACGACGAGTAGGTCGAACTCCTGAGTCGGGTCCTGGCTCGAGAGCTTCAGCGCGTCAAGCATCTGCTGGCGCGAGGGCGGAGTCCATGGCGGGGGAGGTCTGCGGGTCTCCTTCGTGGATGGGGGATAGGTGGGCCCCGAGTTGAGGTAGTAGTACCCGCCCGCGGCGGAGAGAGCGGTGGCCCCAGAGGCCATCGCGAGGGTGCGGCGCGAGACGAGGCGGCGGAGCATGGCCTCCAACGCTCAGCAAAGAGCGGGTGGTAAGCGGGGGGTGTTAGCGATGGACGGACCATTTTTCTGGGCAAGGGGCCTTATGAGCCAGCTCCCATTTGTCTCGCATCCCGGACCGGGCCGCCGGGCCGCGTCGGGAGTGTAGCCTGCCACTAGTCGTTTTGGGGTCTCGTTTCGCGTTCATAGCCCAAGGCACAGGGCCCGGCTGGACGAGTGCTGGGTTGGTTCCTGTTCGTTCTGGACAAGAAGGGATAAAGTATCCGCTCTTCCGTTACCCCAGCCTCCTGCGCCATCCAAACCAAGGAGTGGAAATTCTTCCGAGGCTCATTCTCCTCGGTCGCCCCTTTGGCCAGCCTCGCTCGTTGTAGCCGGTCCGCCATCCAAGTCCTTTGGAGGAATTCTCCCGAACCTCGAGTCGCGTTTAGATGGTCAAGTTATCACACTGTGGTGAGTCCTACGACATTGACGGCTCCCGTGGCATATTCTGATCTTTTCGCTAGATAACCCTGGTGCGATGCTGCATTTCTCAACACTACAAGTACAAGGACTCGAATCAAGCCATCGGCCACTCCGAGAAGACCCCTTGCCCGAATCTGAAGAAGCTGATCGTCCGGCGTCACGACCGCGATGACGACCATCTTGTTTCCGGTCTTGAGCAGCGGGAACGGATTGGGGTTTCGAGTAGGAGGTTTTGGCGGGGACTGGCGACCAAGGCCATACCCACGTCCATGCTCTTGATGCGAGAGACTGGGGAGATCTATGCTCGTCAGTGCTGTAGGTTCAGGGGAGCCTTCTGCGGTTGCTGGGAGGAGGCGGCAGCAGCGGCCTTCTGCTGCGCGAAGGACATCCGCTTACGGGGACCGGAGGAGGTAGCACGGGAAGCTCGCCGAACAGGTCGGTGAGCTCAGTGAGTGACGGAACGGGGGTTGGTGCGTGCACTGGGATGGGTGGTGAAGGTGAGCACGGACATAACGGAAAGTCGCAAAAAAAAACTCACTTGACAACTACTACGGAGAAGTCGGGTTGTGGGGGTGCGGTCTTTTTGAACGGCGTCGAGGGCTTGTAGAGGTTGAAGAAGATCTGGTAGGGGGACGACAGAGAGTCGGCCGGTTTCTTCACGTGTAATGGGGCGCTGCTCCCAGACGGAAAGAACCGCATGGACTTGAAGAGGGTGTCTGCGGCAAACGTTGAGGATTATGGATCGATGTGCAGCAGAGCATGTGGCTTACTATGTGCAAGACCGTGGTGTAACCAGCTAACAGACCCAAGCGGCCGCCACCAATACGATTTCGGACGATTGGTCGCCCCAGGAATGATGCCAATGCGTTGTATATTCTCGCAAATATTGACAGTGACTGGAGGACTTCAAATTGAAGGGCGGAGGCGATGGATAGTCGGAGGAAGGGGAGTTCGTTCGAGTGACGACGTATCCCAACCTCTTTAGATATGCATAGACCTTGAAGGCATCATCGTTACTGCCGCACACAGCGTAGACGGTATAGATCCACATACCTGGTACTTCTCGAACGTTAAATCCTCAATCCCAATCATCTCCGCATACGCCTGCTGCACCGACATCGGCACTCCCTCCATGTCGTCCAGCAGCGGTGTTGAGGTAAAGGTAGGTCCGTGGGTCTCCAACAGTACATGGCGCCACGCTCGACCAAGTACAAGGCCTCCTCTGGGAGGAGCTCCAGTCGTTTTTGTGACTTGACGGTTCCATCCGGCCCCGGTTGCTCTTGCTGCAGAATGGCCGATACTCGCGAAGAGAATTCCCCTAGATACGGTGACGTGCGCCCGCTTGAGTTGTGGATACCATATCGCATGGCTCACGGACTTGCTGAAGGCCGCGATGAGCACGGGGCACAAACGGAAGACATAGGATAATACTCACTGGGAGATCGTGCGCGTCGCCTTCAGGGCGTCCAACATCGCACCGCGCGAGCGGTCTAGGACATGCTTTTGCAGATTCGACCCTCCTTGCGCAGAGGGCTCGAAATCTTTCTCGCCTCGTTTAGGAATGACCGGACGCGACGCAGCGAGTCCACTGGAAGAAAGAGCTTTAAACATGCTTCGGAGAACTCGCGCGTGCACACGCACGGGATTTTTGTCCAATCCGGACCCTGGTCTTCGTCTCCGACTCGGACTCGGACTGCTCGTCTTCCTCCTTTTCTTGGGATGGAACGGGCTTTGGTGCCGAGGAAGGAAATTCAGTGTGTCGTCCATTGCTGTAGGTTTCTCTGTGCAACGTAGGAAGGAGTGCGTACTGAGAGATGGAGGGAGTGGGGTATCGGAGTGACTCGCGAGCGGGAGGCTCGCCGCGGCTCGCGAGACAAACAAAACGCCGGGAGTCCCGCGCCGCGGTGGCACGCGACGAGTTGCGCCGACCGTCCTCCACTCGTCTTCCCCCTGCCATCTCCTTCTGCACACTGTGTGGATCCCGTCACCGGCTTAGCACTGAAGTGAACGCGCGAGCTCTTGCTCTTGCGCTGTTCCAGTGCCCCACGATGTCCACGAAATCCGGGCCGACGTTCTACCAGTCGCTGGTCGTACGTTCCATCACCGCTCGTCCTGTAACAGAATACTCTCTAACGCTTCATCAAGGCAGGGGGTGCGGCAGGCACAGCGGTTGACCTCTTGTTTTCCCCATCGACACAATCAAGACACGTCTGCAATCCTCGCAGGGCTTCGTGCGTGCGGGTGGATTCACTGGGGTGTACAAGGGGATCGGGAGTGTCGTAGTGGGGAGTGCACCTGGAGGTGAGTGCTCACTATGTTCGCGCCAGTATCCCGTTGACATGAATGTGCGCTGTCCAGCTGCTGTGTTCTTTTGCACGTATGACACGCTCAAGCGCACCCTCCCCATCTCTTCCGACTACGCGGCGGTCACCCACATGCTTGCCGCATCCATGGGTGAAGTGGTGCGTAGCGCATACTCGTCGACGTTCATGTGCTTACTGATGCAGCAGTTTGCGTCAGGCAGCCTGCTCAATACGTGTCCTACCGAAGTGATCAAGACGCGCGCCCAGACATCGTCCTATGGTGCCGCGGCCAAGTCTTCCTACGGAGCCGCGAAGCTCTTACTCTCGACGGAAGGCATTGCGGGGTTCTACAGGGGATTCGGGACAACTATCATGCGCGAGGTGAGATCGGATGTATACATGCATTGTGCATCGCGTTCAACTGTCAACAGATCCCGTTCACCTCGTTCCAGTTCCCGCTCTACGAGTGGCTGAAGCTGCGCCTTGCCAAGACTCTTCATAGACCTCTACATGCGCACGAGGCCGCCGTCTGCGGCAGCTTCGCGGGTGGCGTCGCTGCCGCCCTCACAACACCACTAGACGTTCTGAAGACTCGAGTCATGCTAGATATGCGGGTGGGTATTATTCGCTTCTATTCGCGACACAAAGTTGACGCGCTTGCTTACATAGGATCCGTCTAAGCACGGTTACCCCTCGGTCTTCACACGCTTCCAACAGATATACGTCAATGAGGGGCCAAAGGCACTGTTCGCTGGGATTATACCAAGGACACTCTGGATATCAGCCGGCGGCGCCATCTTCTTGGGGGTGTACGAATGGACAGTCCACACGCTTATGGGACGTTTGGACGCAGATTCGGATTAGATGTGTTTATACACTGCAGCATTCATGCCTTACACGCATAGAGACTAATAATCACTTCACTGCAGGAGACTTCAACTCTTACTCCGTTGTCGTGATCGTTCAGTGGGTACGACCGGGGAGATGATCCACCAGCTTCTCGACGTTCACTGTACGGCACCGTCGGTCAGCACCCCGCGTATGTACAAGCCCAGCAGGGTAAATCGACATACCCTTGATCTTCTCGCCCACAGACGCCTTGCGATTCTGGTTCGGCTTGAAGTCCCCGCTCGACTCCCACCTCGCAGTGTCGGTGGGGTCATGTGTGGGGCGCGTGCCCCCTGCGACCGTTCTGCGCAACACACCCGTCAGCCCTCAGTTCGCTGAGACGGCGAAAAGCTACGGACTCATGTCGTTCTGCTGCGCCTCGAGGAACGGGTCGAGCGGTGGCTGCTGTCCCTGCAGACCCGTCTGGCCGGCGTGGGGGCCAGTGTCCCCTGACCCTCGGTGGTGCGGGATCCAGGCTGAGGGCCGACGCGGAGGCCTTCCGAGTTGAAGCCGGGCAGGTTCGTGCCCTCGAACTCGTAGGGGCGATACGGCTCGTGTCCGGACATGGTTAGGTTACTGTAGGTTGTTCAGGTGGAGGGGAGTGGATGATGATGAGTAGTTGAAGAGGATGAAGTTGCTGCTAGGATGCAGAGGGGTGTTCTGGCCACTCCAAGCCAAGGAGCAGGGGGTTTATATACTCGACGGACTCAGTTCGATGAGGACGAGGCTCCAGGCGGGGAGACGCTGCGCTCTCCGAAGAACCGCAGAGAACCTTGTGCTTGACCTCATCGACCCCACCGCGACCCCGCTCGCTTGACGCGACAAAGAGTACCCGATCACGCAAGCAAGCTCTGGGAGCTGTGGGTGCACTGGGCGTGGGTGCTGGAGAGAGCATGTGCCGGGGTCATGGAGCCACATATGACGCACCCCCAGTTGTCACCGGTTCACCCCCTGTAGGACGCAATTGAAGAACCACTGTGGCGTTGAGACATTGAATTTGCACAGTATTGCATGAAGCTGTAAGCCCCATATAACGAGCACGCGGCCACCTTCCTCATCCTGCGAAGGCAAGGACAGCAAAACGACATTGTGATTGAGAGCATGTGAACGACTTGCGAGCAGATATACATCGTATGATAGACCACCAATATGCTTCTTATACCTTCCTCATCTAAGGGCCTTGTCCAGGGAATCCGAGAAATAGGAAAATGTGGGGCAGGGAGCACAGGGCCGTTCAATCCAGGTCGTCGGCTGGGTTGGAAACCGCAGAATCCGGCTGAGGGGACCTGCCGGGGCTTCGAGTGTCCCCCAGCTCATATACGCCATCGGGTGGAGAGCGCATAAGGGGACTTCCATGCAATCGGCCAAGCTCCTCGGTGTGACCAGGAGGTGAAGCTGCCAACTGCAGGTTCGGCAACGGCATTCGGGGAACCGACGGTGATGTTGTGCGGTTGAGCTATCTGATTGATTCGTACCGCCCTTAGCCAAGGAGGATATTGCGGGATGGGGACAGGGGAATGGGGGTCCGATCGCACGAAAGAAGGGGGTGCTGGGGGAAGAAACCCCACATTGCGGTAGGGATCAAACTCAGGGAGTGAGTGAACTGGCGGAGCGGGCGACACGTCTGCTGCTCGTCAGTGACTTGAAGATTTACAGAGGCAAAAGAACTCACATTCGGGCATTGTGACTGACGGTCGCTCTCGTGGGACGCCCTTCGCACGAGCCTGTTCTTCCCCTTGTACCCACTCAAGCAGAGTCTCCACCTTTGGCGGCTTCCAGGTACGTCCAGATCGTGACACCGGCCGAGAGGGCCCGGCTTCGGGAACATCTTGATACAACCGCAAAGTGAGCGAAGAAGGGTCGATGTCAAACCGGCATGTTGGGCAAGTCGTTTTCCTCGAGAGCCACGGGGATAGACAGTTCTTGTGGAAGAGATGTTTACCGGCACAGGGGAAGGCGAGAATGCAGTCCAACTGCGGCTCACGTGGAACGGGAGCTCCGAGTCTGTTTTGCAGGACTGCTTGGGCCTTGTGTTCATCCGCGGAGACTTCGAGCAGACCTTCCCGACAGATTGCGCACCCGTCCGCTGGCTCACCGTCATCTGTTCGAAGCACCTCGTACCGCTTGACCAGCTCCTCCGATGCCACCTCCATTCCGGCCATCAAACCTTCGCCCGTTCTGGATCCTCGTCGAATGCAGTTAGCCGGGAGGTGAACTCCGTGACGTCGAAAAATCCTCCCTCTGCTGAAATGATCAGTACAGTAGACGAACAAAAGCAGCGCATACAACTTACTGCCCTCTCCAACAGCGCTCGCGAGCTGAAGAAAGGCTCGTCGACGGCGTCGAAGGGCAAGTTCCTGCTCGCAGAGGGGTTGGAATCCATCGGTTGGCGGGAGGAACATCTCTTGCCACGTAATACCCTCGGAGTCATCGCCCTCCCCGTCGCTCCAGTCTCCGCCCTCCTCGTCTTCCCATTCGTCCGAGTCGCTAACGGTGGCCATGGAGGGCATAGAGCCATCATCGTCTTCGACGTCCTCCTCGTCTTCGTCCTCCGAGTCCGAGATGCTCTGGAGTGTCGGAAGACTGCTCGTGCTCTCTGCATCGGAGTCATGGCCATCGTCCGTCGCGGAAGGACGAGAGCCTGAACGCTGCACAGTAGTGCGAGGGGAGGAGGGAGCACGACCACCTTCCACATCCGGTCGGGGAGCGGAAGCATCGAGGGGCTCAGTTACAGGGGACTGTTGGCGGGTCGTGTTGGAGAAGAAAGAAGCGGGGATGGGGGAGTCGTCCGCTTCTAACGGCGGGGGCAAATCACCATCTTCGTCGTTAGTGTCAGCCGACGATGGCGAGGGGGAGCCACTGCGGCTAGGGGAACCGGAGGGCGTGTCGTCGTCGTCGTCGTCGTTCAACGGGGGCATATCGGCATAAGCATCGAGATCATGGTTGTGCGCAGCGTCGGTGGGGATGAAGTCGTGGGGGTGGAAGTCGGGATTTAGGAGCAGGTCGAGCAGGTTGCGCGGTTCTCCGCGCGGAGGAGCCTGCCCAGCGAGACGGCGCTGCTGCGCGAAAAGAGCGAGCCATGAGAGGTTGTCTGCCGCCCTTCGTTGGCCGTCCATGTTGAGGTGGCAGTAGAGGGAGGAGGAAGGGGGCGTGGCGGAGCGGATGCAGGAGGCAGCTGCAGCATGTACAACGTGACCGCGCGTGGCGCGGATGCACGGCGGCGATCCCAAAGCGATCCATTTCTATAAAATTCGAACTCCGAAAGGCTTGACTGTGGCTGAGGTGTGAGTTATTTCAAGCTCCGAAAAGCTTGGCGAGCCGGGGTTCGCGTCGCGCGCGACCTTACCGCGGTCGCCTTTCCAACCTGTCCCAAACCATCCGCGCCCGCGCCCTCGCCATGCCCCCAACATCGATATATCTGCAAAAAAGCATGCCTTCTGCATCGGTACATTCGGTCGCGAGACAACTCGCACATCTTCGAGCGGCCGGAACGGCTGCGCGCGGTCAATGTCGGGCTCGCGGCCGCCATCGCGCGCATGGAGGAAGGCGCGCCGACCAAACCCGCGCCCGCTAACGCCCCGCTCAGAACGGAGGAGGATGAAGATGAACTGACGAAGGCTCTCGAGAAGCTCCAGCTTTCGACGCCATGCGCGACCCAGCAGCCCGCGCGCGTGCCGGCTACCATTGTCCACAGTGGCGCAACTGTAGACATTCTGAACCACGCGGCAGTCAAGTTCGTGCATGGCGACATAGACGACGATGTGTATCTGAAGACTCTCAAGAAGTGGACGCAAGACAGCCACGACAAGATAAACCAGGGCGGTAGCGAGATCCCCGAGGGCTACAACCAAGGCGACTTGTACCGTGTGTTCTTCCGAACCTGTTGCTTTGCATTTACTCACTCTGCCAGGCCTACAGTTTGCCCAGGATCGTTGGACGCCATACAAGGTGCCCTTGGAACCATGTGTGAAGCTGTGGACAGCGTTGTTGGTTTGCCTAGCCCCGACACTCCTTCTCAAGCTTTCGTGGCCGTCCGTCCACCTGGGCACCATTGCGGAGAGGTGGGACGGCGTGCCCGCGTAATAGTAGTCCTGTATGTTCTGACATACACCATGCACAGGATACACCCTCAGGATTCTGCTTCGTCAACAATGTGGCCGTGGGTGCTGCTCACGGTGAGCCCCTGCAATTTTGAGATATCAGGCCCAATGTTGCTTAAGTATCCATAATCACAGCCTATCTCAAGTATAAGATTAACCGTGTTGTTGTCTTGGACATCGACTTGCATCATGGTGAGTTGGTAGGCAGCCTGGTGGAAGTCAGCTGACACGCTACAGGTAACGGCACACAAGCCATCGCATGGCAGATCAACGAGGAAACGTATCGCAAGCAGCTCGAAGGGGAAGCGGGTGCGCCTCACGAGCCCGGACTGCAAGTCTACTACGGCAGCATCCATGACATTTTATCTTACCCATGCGAAGACGGGAAGACGAGCTTGGTACAAGCAGCCTCGGTCTCTATCCATGGACCGCACGGGCAGCACATCGAGAATATTCATCTGTCGCCGTACACCTCTGAAGACGAATTCTGGGATAAGCTGTATGCAGGGCCCTACTCTCGCCTGCTACAGAAAGCAGGCGAATTCCTCGAGAACACCGGCAAGTCTTCGGATGACGTCTTGGTGTTCATCAGGTATGCTTCTCTTTTACCAGAGCTTCCCTCACTCACGCGTTTCCCAAAGCTGCGGCTTCGACGCGAGCGAGCACGAGCACCCTGGTATGTCGCGCCACGGACGCAAGGTACCCACATCATTCTACTACCGATTCGCACGCGACACCCGCGCATTTGCCTCGCGCTACGCCAACGGCCGCCTCATCAGCGTCCTCGAAGGTGGCTACAGCGACCGCGCGCTCGCCAGCGGCGCGATGGCCCACCTCGCCGGTTTCCTCGAAGACGATACGCACCCGGTGGACCCGACCTGGTGGAGTCGGGAGAACCTCATCGCGGTATGTGCAGCTCCAGGCGCGCTCGTCCGCATGCACTCATCGTACGCGTCCGTCGCCAGCTCGAGGCGGCTACCAAGAAGCGGCGGGGCGGCCGGCCGTCCAACACCACGCCCCCGGTCCCCTGGCTCGCGCGCACGGTCGAGCTCTTCGCGTCCATTGACGCCTCGCACACGCTCGCCCCCATCTCCCACCCCCGCGCGCCCATTGCTGCGTCAGACCGCACGTTGCGCGACAGGAAGCCTGCGCGAGCGAGTCCGGCGGCATCCCCGGGGAAGAAGATCGCCGCAAAGAAAGGGGCAGCGGCCGCCATCACGTTCACTGACGAAGAGAGCGATTCGGTCTCGACGGATGCGTCGGTCCCCGAGGAGGGTGGCGCGGCTCAGTCGGCCTCCAAGAAGCTGCCGAGGGTGATTTTGAAGCTGGGCCCACAGCCGAACGCCTGACAGTGCGGATTTTGGTTTGTTTGATGTTTGTCATATCATTATGCTACTCTATCGCGTTCTCTTGATTCAATTGTCCGAGAGGAGACCAAGTACCAGATTCCGTCCTGTACAGTGCAATGTTTCGAATACCAGATACCAGCTTCCCACGTACAAGCTTGCAGCAAACTTACAACGTCCGGACGGGCAGTGATTACAACTGTGCGTTCGAGGTTACTCCAGCATACGTCATAACTGACTCGATAAATCCTCCATCAAGCTATGCCTCCGACAGTATGTTGGGAGAACCATATGACCCCATTAACTCCGAACTTCTCATGCTCCATGAATGCTCCAGCAGGTGGTCAGCAGCTCCTCATAACATGCGCTTGAATCCACAGATGCTCTGTCTCTCTCCCCTCGCTCCCCGTAGCACGTCTTCTTGGGTGCTCTGACCATCATCTCCATGTCACACAACCGACCCCTCTCGGGGCGATACGAGACGCGTGCAAAGGAGGGACCAGGTGCGCCCACAAAACAAGATTCCCTCCCATGTCAAAGCTCTGCGCCGCTCACCGCCCCAGCACGTCCACAGACGGCGCCCCGTCCACGTCCACGTCCACGCGGCCGCGCAAGGACAGCACCTCCCTCTGGCTCGCCGACGTCGCCGAGCGCCGCCGCGCGCGCAAGGCCTCAGGCACCCCCCTGCCCGTCGCGGAGCGTCCTGGTCTCACCAACTCCAGTCCCCCGTCCCAGGGCCCGTCGACGCCAAGGCCGCGGGACGAGAACGGCTGCCCGCTCCCCGCCGCGCCGGAGCCCCCGCGCGCACGCCGAGCCCGCAGCCGTACAACGTTGGGGACGTGTGGGCGGCGAGCCTCGAGCCGCGCTGGTCCGCGCATTACGGGGGCCCGCGGAGGCCGCCCGGGCATGGAGCGGAGTTCCTGAGGGGCCCACGCACGCCGGACGGCGGGGTCAGGGCGGGCGACAACTGGCACAGCGACGCCGCGATCTTGGAGGAGGCAAGGGGAAAGATGGGCGGGGACTCTGAGGGCGAGCATGTGTGCGTGGTGCTAAGTGAGTTCGTCCTGCTCATCGGCGAGAGCAGAGTGGATGACGGCTGTTTTTGTGTTCTCGCAGACGGGATGGAGAAGGCGGCGAATCGGTTCGGGCAGCATTGCGAGCACTGTTCGGATAGGGTGATTCGGGCGGCGAGCAGGATTGTTTAAAGGGTAGACGAGTATATCGACAGAGTACTTGTGGTTCATTTGTCTTGTATTTGTGTGGTTTTTCCTGGGACTTACGCACTGTGGTCGAGGCCCGAGAGTCTACTCTAGGTGACTGGATGGCTGCCGAGGATAGCGGGCTAACCAGCGATTGCATATGGTACGTCAGACATGAGCACTCGCCTAGCAGTTAACCATACTCACCTCCACTTGCCAGCCCCGCTGTTACCCGTACAATACCAGCCCCGCTCATCATGTCCACTCCAGAACGAGCGCGATGTGGAATAACTCGACACCTGGTCCATGTGCCGTCTAATGTCGGCACACCATGGTGAGACACCGCATTCCGAGCCAATCTTGAGGCTCGCCTCCATCGCGATCATCTCCAACGCGGCCCAGGCCCTCACTATCCGCCTCCAACCTGAGGTCGACCACAAAGCCGTTCGAATTTGCATGATGCGCAGCGATGACTTGGCACTGGGTGGCGTCACCCGAGCCCTGCGCCGACGTCAGCCTCAGACCAGTCTAGTCGCCTCTGCCTTCGCCCTTTGATCGCCGGCCCCAGCGAGGCGTGCGCGCGGTTCCGCTTGCCCCAACTTGCAACTCCATTGGTGACGGAAGGGGCACGGACGGCCCCGAAGCGACGCGTCGAACCGGTCTGGAACCCTGGATCACGGGCTTCGAAGGCGCGCTCGGAAGACACGCCAAGCGCTCCAGCGAAGCCGCCGCGACGACCTAACCGCCAGATGCATTGCACACCGTTCTGAAAAGAAACGACGAGCGCGGTCTGCCGGCGTAAGTCCACCGGCGTCAGCGGCGACAGAGGTGTGAAGTCTCACGTTCAATGCACACACGGCGTCCTATCGCACGAAGACTGGCTTCGCGCTGGAGGGCTGTGCGGGAGGGGCGCTGTGGCCTCGAGACCGTCCCTTACGCCCGCCGCCGACTAAACGCTTGTGCGGTCCTAGAAGACGGGGCGCGTGTCCTGTCAGACGGTGAGGGTCAGTACGAGGCAGGTGCTCGACAAGTGCCTTGTCCTTACGCAAGAATAACTCCAATCGGGCAGGAGCAGAACGAGCGAGCACTTGGGCTTCTCTGAGGGCCGTGCGCGTGAGCATTGAAGCCTTGAGATCTAAAAAAGTCGGTGGCGCAAGGCAAGGGGCGGTTGTCGTGATGGTGGCGCTCACCGGCGCACGACATTGGACCAAACTCGCCGGTGCGCTCGGGCGAGTGCGAGCGTTTGGAACGCCGTGGCCATTCGGAATCGCGAGGGTGACGAGGACGCTAGGGGCATGCGGGGAACCCCGTGTGCGTTGCCGGTATTCAGCCTACGCTGATGGCGTGCGTCAGCGGATGTCGGCTTAAGTGTCAGGGCTGGCTGTGATTCGTTGCGAGCCTTGCGAGCCCCGTGGGGAGCGTGAATTCCGTGTACGTGAACCGGAACGCGTAGTGGTACCTGGACGCTAGTTTTAGTGCTCGTTGAGCCTGTACGCGACTGATCATCATACCTTTGCTCAAAATGACGGCGCAGGCGTAATGAGATGGGAATGGCCCGGCGGCATGGCCTCCTCTGGCGGTCATGGAATGCCAGAGCCCTGGTCAGTCTTGAGAGTGCAGGTCAGTCAGATGAGCCGCAACGCACGCCGATTTGACATAACAGAACTTCGCATAGCAGCCACGGGTCAAGGCAGTGTCTGAACGTGCACGGGCTGGTGGTAAGTCGAAGTCTGCATAAGTGCTAGTACGAAGAAGCGGAGAAGAGCATCTTGCGGACCTCTCCAGGCAAATCAGCCCCCCGGCATCTCAACGGCCCAATGAGAATACCGGGACTTCGTGATTGGTCCCTGTCAGACGGGTAGCCTTCTAGTTCGTCGGTAAGCGGACGCCGTGCTCCGAAGTAGTGGCCAGACTGCCGATACCGACTCTGCGAATTTAGCTCACACCCGTATGGAGACGCCAGCGAGTTCGTACAGGCGCGATTCATGACAACGTACATGATCGAATTGAAGCTCGCGGCGTGGACGTGTCAGGCGGTTTGCGGCCTTCGAGCGCGGAAGCTACTTGCCAAGCCTGGACTGGAAGTGGGCCCGGAGTTGTCTGAGAAACCGATCTTGTAAGCACAGGAACAAGTTGCTCACCTGGTGCTAGTGCGAGAGCACAAGATGCACACCGCGCACAAGCCGCGCACATTACCAGTCTGTACGCCGACAAGACACTAAGACCATCGGCTACTTGCATGGCGCTCCCACGAGGACGCACGATCCTCCGGCATCTATCGCGCACCCGCGAATCTACAAGGTCCGGCTTCAGTAGACTGCTAACCAGAACAAGAGTGAATACGTTCACCCCTGGAAAACTCTCGCCCGCACCCTGAGGGCTGCGCATCCTGCTGGGTACCGACAGGGACGTCTTCAGCCGAGCTTCGCAGGCGGGTGCCCGGTGCTGGTCAGGCCGCGCAACGGACAGAGCTCCCTCCTTGCGCCATGCTGGTGCGTGCTGCAGCTCGCGCCCGCCAGGCTTTCGTGCGCTGGCACATCGCTGCTTGTGCACCGAATCACCGCGCCGAGGTCGCCGTCGCGCTCCGGTGGCTGCGGACGCGCGCGGTGCCCATGCCGATGCGCCGCAGTGGACGAGCCCTGCAGTGTCCATTCAGTCATCTAAAAGCGCAGACGCGAGATGAACGATGAACGGCACATCGACCGCCACAGGCCCCGGGCACTAGCACTGTGAGCTCGAACGCAGAGGCCTGAAGACTGAATTGCGAAGCGGCCTACCCCGCACCCCGCACCCCGCACCTCCCTTCCGCCGCCCGCCCCCCACGCACGATCGCCGGCGCGTCATCTCGGGCGTAGTCCTGCGGCTAATGCCCGCGGTTAGGTTAAGCTATCCCAACAGTGCGCGGAGCCTGTCCGCGCGGGAGCGGTGGCGCGCAGCGAGCTCGCACGACACGCACCTGTTGCCCCATCTCCGCCCTGGGCCCAGGGCCCCGCGGCCGCCGCCGAACGGAGTGTGCGCGGGTCGTCCCATCCCGCCGCCGCCGCACCCTGTGAGGTCCCCGCGGGCGCAACGGGCGACGGGCGTTCTCGCACGCCTCCAGGTCCGTGGCGCGGTCCCCGCGACGGCGCAATCACGCGGCGCGGCGCGGGTCGGGGAGTGTAAGCTTGTGTGCCCGTCGCCCACAGTGCGCGGGGCCCCGCCGGGCTTCGTGAATGTCGCGCGGGCTTCTGGCAGATGATAAGAACCGTATGGGGGACGGCGAGGGCGAACGTCAGGTGCTTGCCAGGTTGGCATCGCTGCCTGGCGTATGTCAGTTGACCGCATATGCAGCGTATGACCTTGAGATGATGCTTCCTGCCGCGGTCAAGGTTCGTGCATCTGTCTGCGGCACCCGTTCACCGCGACCTGCACCAGGACGCCACATTGGTTGGACCTCCAAGTTCCGGGTTCTGAGCAATCGAGGCAATCGAGCGATAAGCCCTGATACCAGTGCCGTACGTTGTCTGTTACCGGGGGTGGAGTATGTGTGCCATCGTTCGAGTGCCAACTGGTTGTCAGTGTCAGCGCCCGTTTTCGATGGGCAGCGGGTCGCGAGAGATCGCAACTTACGAGCGCATACGGTCCATGCTCCGTGCTTCGTGCAACGAACGCGCTTCCCTGCCACGCTGTCTTCGTGCGGTTTGTGGTCGAGCAGACTCGATGGTCAGGAGATGGTCAGAGCATGAAATGACGTCCGTGCCAACGCCGCATGCGGTGATACAGGCGCTCGCACTCGCACGTGTGTACCACTATTCAAGATCTGAAGATCTCTCGAGTCTTGGTCTCCTGTCTCGATTCCGTCTTGCAGCCCGAGACAAGCACAAACCAAGCGTCTCTGACAAGCTATGTTTTCCGTTGAATTCGACATGGCATGTGCAGCGTCTCTGTCTGAGTCTAGAACGCGAGGCACCGAGTCGGACCAACCTGCGTTTGGCGCACCCTTTTATCTCTCCGTTTATTGTTCGGAAAACAAGCCGACCCCAGTCCTGCAGCAGCTATACCTCCAGAGACACCCCCACACAACACCTACGCTCCGCACCCCTGATCGGAAACAAAAGCGCGTCCCTCGTGAAAAAGCGAAAGCCGCGCCCACACCAGGCTAGGCCGTGCACTACTGACGGGAGCACGGACCATCGACTCCCTAGCGACATGAATGCGATCGAGCACGATCGCGGATCGGAAACGCACCGGCACTCGACCTACAAGCAACAAGGCCGCCACCGCTCAGCTCGCCGCGGAAGCATCGGCCGCCCGGCGGCCGCGGTCGACATCTCCGTCCCGCCGCCTGACGACCCGCGCCGCAGGCCGCGGTGGCCGAGTGACGTCGACGGCGCGGGCGGACGTCTGCCCTGCAGTGGCCGGTGCAGCAACAGTGGCGATCACTGCCCGCGAGAACTCGCAACGGTCGCGGGTCATCGTTTCACGTCGGGGGGCTCGAGGCAAGTCGGGAGGGCTTGATCCGCAAAACATATCACATGGGTCGTGCAAGCCCTAACTCCTGCAGCACTGTTAAGCCGGGCGGTGGAGAGACGGCAGGAGCGAACCCGGCTCACGTTGTTCGAACGATGTGACTTAAGTCCAACCCGATCAACATGTTTCGCTGCGAGGCGTGATGGTGCGGGTATGTTAATTGCTGCCGATGAGCGTTTGAGCTCCTGCAGAGACGGCGTTCCGCTGCGACACATACAGCATGAGGAGCACGGCCTATTTGTGCGAGAGACAAATTACATGTAGGATAGGCCTCGTACCTGCTCAGTCAACCTGATCTTTGATGCGGCACCGACAGATGCGCCTGTGATGAAACGACCATGAACTCTGAGCCTCCACACCTCTACGAAAATACAACACCCGCCACCTCCAAGGCTCTGCCACCGCCGTCGCACTCGCGATCACTGCACGCGGCACCCCTGCCATCCTCGGGCGCTCCGTTCCCGTTCGCATCCCGAAGACATCCCCAGCAGGCTAGCGTCGTCCGCGCGAGCGCGAGGCATGCCTCGCTCGCGGCGTGGCGTGCCTCCCCAGCGCTCAGCGCCCAGCAGCGTCGGAAGAGGGAAAGCGGCGCACACGGCCTCCCTTCATTTCCGACCGCCCTCGCGCTGGCCCGCACCGAGCCTCCGAGAGTCGTCCGAGGTCTCGTCGTGCGGAGTCGGGCGCGTGCGGTGAATCCGTCCCTCTCTCCATTCTGGGGGGTGCGCGCCCGCGGCGTTCAGGCGCGAGGCTCCGGAGTCCGGGCTGGACGACGATCCAGCTGAGCTCGGTCGGCGCTGCGGGATCGGACTGAATGGTGGGGAAGAACTCAAAGTGCGCAGCAGCGGTGCGGGGTCGCAGCCAACGGGAGCACGCGGAATCGCCGCCCGGGTGCATCGGGGATCGGGCGAGCGCGCTACGGGCTCTCCCGGTGCGGGGTAAATCGAAAGTCGATCATCCCGCCTCGGGAGCTTCGCGGCTCGCCCGGGCCGCCGCAAGGACCGCCGCGCGCCCATTGGCTGCCGGGCGCATTGCGCACTCGCTCATCTTGTGTTGATTCCGCGCGGTGCGGCTGCGGCGATATCATTACGCAGCGGGCGCGGCCATGCTCCAGAGCCAGGCGCGCCTTCGTGTCAGCATTCGCGTGAAGTTCGAGCTGTGTATCCCCATGGTCCGAGCGTGCGCCAGCGACACCTTCAACTCACTGGCGGCCTCCGCCTCGCTCACGGTCCCGGGAGGGAGGCGGTCCCAGCAAGGCGGCCGGTACCGCTCACCTGACGACCCGCCGTCTGCATCGCACATCCGGGTTCTCAGCGCGCACCGTCAGTCCCGCGCGGGCGCGGCGCAGACATGGGTGCCTCGCCGCCGTAAATAGCCCTCGGGCTCTGTGTCCTTCGCAGAGCCAGAACCTTGAAGGCTGCCGGGGCCAGTCTGAGCGAGGAACCGCGAGCGAAGTGCGGGGTAGAGCAGGAAAACGGCACACGCTGCGCGATCAACAGCCTCCGCGTATACCGCGCGATGACGGTCCCATTGGGCTGTAACACCGAACCCCCACGGACACGAACGGCCTCCGCGGGGCGGCACGTTATCCGAGTCCAAACGGCCCCACGTACCACCGCGTTAGCCTGAGCAATCTGTCTGGCGACCGTGGCCGCCATGCCCATGCCCAACCCATGCGCTACTCGCACAGCGCTCGTTCATTTCCGTGAGCAACCATCACCACACCACGTCCTAGAGCCGCATCGATCTGAGCGAAAAGTGCAGACAGGCACGCTGGGCGGAGGGCTCGGGCGCACCGCGGAGCCTGGGCGGGACCGTCCGGAGGCGCCGGCGGGCGTCCCGGGATAAGTTCGCGTTCGGCAGGCGGACGACGGCGGAGCGGGACGCGACGCGGCGGGGCCGTCCGCACTTGAAGTGCTCCTTAATGCCCACGCGTCCCACCTGCATCATCCGCGCCGCGCCGCGCGCACGGCGCAGACGCACCCGTGTCGGGAGCAGAGCAGGAGGGGGTGCAGCACGCGCGCGTGCGCCCGAATCAGGGCGTATCAACCGCAATCAGCTGCGAGCTCCCGGGCCCGGATCTTGAGCTGGGCAGTTTTTTTTCGTTCGGTTCTCGCCGGCGGGCGCGTCGGGCGCATCTGTCCGCTAAGCTCGTATGCGCTGCTACACTGCGGACGCGGACGGCGGAGGGCTGTCGCTGTCGGCGCTGTTGCACGATGAAGCATGTGCGTGAAGCTTGAACCGTGCCCAGCCGTGTCTCGCCGCCGCGCGCTCGTCCTCTCCGCTCCTCTTTACTCCTCCTTTACATAAATGCCCAGAACACAGCTCAGCAGCGATCTAGTGACAGATGAGTGCGTGCCTGGCGTGTCCCTCAGCGGCTTCGTGCGGCCCGCGGCCCGCGGATCGCCGGGGAGTCGGGAGTCGGGAGTCGGGGCACCGCGCTCCCGCATCACGACGTCGGTTTCGCAGGATGGCGCGTTGCAACTTGCGGCTCGGGCGGAGAGCGAGGAGATGAGAAGTTCGTCCGACGGCTCCGCGGCGGGGGTTGCCGCAGTGTGCCTCGCAGCAGGGCCAAGCCTGCTGACGCGCAAGCCGACGGAGTCGGGAATGGGCTTGCACCGTGGGCCGGGAGCGTTGGACGTGGTCGGGCTCGAGGCTGTCGGTTCGAATATGGCTCACCGTGTCCGGGGCACCGCACGACGGCGTACGGTGGTTTCACTTGGACGACCGGCGTGCGCAGGCCAGCACTTCGTGCGCATGGAGGCACGGCGTGCGAGCTTCTATTCCCGAATCCCGACCGCGGCGAGGTGAGTGCTGACGCGGACGGGCGCGCTGACGTTACTGGACTGCGCCCAGGACAGTTCCGCGGGGGACGTCTTCCTCGCCTTGAGAGCAAGTACTCACTCTGCCATCTCGGAGAACGAGTGGCATGGCCGCAGCCTGTAAGCAGGTGTCAGCGGCGGTCGACGAGTGCATGCGGGAGCATATGTGATATTACGGAGATCGCACCTGGTCGCGAAGCGAGCTTATGAAGCGACGCAGGGAGCGGGTCCCACGAACGCACGTTCGGAGGCTCGTCCCGGCGGGCACGCGGAGGCTCCAGGACGTCGACGGCTGCACGAACAAGAAAGTCGTCGGCTCGTGCGCTCGAAATGCGGTTGGCCGACATACCACCGTGCTCAAGCACGCAACGTCACAGCGACTCGGCGAGCACCATGATGGACGGCGCACCGCGCGGCCCAGGCAGAACCCCGACCGCACCGGCGTATACGTAGGGCGGTAAGCACTGGTAAGCATTAATGAACGTTGAACGTTCTGAACATCGAACGGGCCTGCTCGCCCGGGTCGCTTGGCGATGGAAGAATGTGTGCACTGTGCAGCGCCTGTCGGCACCAACAGTGCGCACGATCAGCACGGGCGCACGACCGTCGACAAACCACGCACCAAACGTGGCCTAGCGGCGCGCGCCGTTAATGCATTAATGACCGACCCGGGTCTCGAGGACGACGAAGATGGATGTCGACTTCGAAGGGCGCGTACGTACGTGGACGCCCGGCTGGCCGCGCCGCGCGGCATCTCCGAGTCCACGTGGCCGGGGGCGGGCGGGCTGACATCAGCGCCTACTCACCGCCGGCGCCAAGCTGTGCTGCAATTGGGTGCCTGCCTTCCTTCCGCTGAACACGAGACTCCGCGGCGGGGGGCGGGGGGCCTGTGCATTCGGTGGAGAGCGAACGTCGGGGGGACGCCGTGCGGTTGACGGGAGGAGGGAAGCGGGGGAGGAGACGCTGCCAGGGCGCGCGGGGTTCGAGCTCCGATAAGTATGTCGCCCGTAAGTATACATATGCAAGCAGGTGCGCATTACAGCTCGATCGCCCGCGGACGTCGGGCTGCGGAGGCGGACCCACGCAAAGACAGCCGGACGGGCGAAAGACTCGAGAGTGACACGGACGACGGCGCGCACGGAATGGACGTCGGTCGACGCCGACGCCATTGTTCTTCAAGAGGCCGACTTCGAAGAAGGCCGGCTCGAGGCCGCGTGACGCCGTCTGCGGCCTAGTGCGGGGTAAGTAATCGCTAGTGCCTCCCCCACGGTAATCATGGAGGTGGCAGTCTGGCCACACTCACTCGAGCACCCGTGCCGGATCTGCACGCCCTCCGGTCCCTAGGCCTCCGGTCTTCCCGTCGACCCCTGCACCGTCCCTCGTCCCTGCCTGCCTCGCACGCGGGGCGAGTGCGGGCCCGCGGGGGTCATTGTAGTGCATCGACGCTGCGGCCCTCCCCCTGCGCCCTCGGAGATGTTGAGAGCAGAGAAGCCGGGTTTGCACGCGCACCGGCGACAGCACGCGCAGGCCCGCGGCGACAGAGGGGGAGCGCGCGCACTGATCGTGAAAGTGCAGAGCT